AAAAAAAAAAAAAAAGAATCAGAATGTAAGGCGAAATCAAAGATATGAGAAAGAAACGATAAATTGGTCATTTAATTTGTGTGTTTTTATTATGAGTAAATAATTCCAGACATTTTATTTAGAAATAAATATCTAACAGTGCACTTTTTTTTGAGAGAGAATTTTTTATTGTTTTTCTTTATTTCAAGTTTATTTCAGATTTCACTAAATATTAAATAGTAACGAGTAATATCGATTTTCTCATTTTAACATCTCACAACGAGGGAACAGTGTTAGAGTTTCATTCCTCGACGAAGCGAGATTAAATTTAACGTTATTTATTTGCGACCCGGTCGTATCGAATTGCGAAATTTCGTACAAAAAAGTCGGCTATAATATGAAATACTGAAAATGTGCGGTATTAATGATCATACGCAGTTCATAGAATTCTCTGTCCTCGGTAAAAGATTTAGTTTCGATGAACAGAATCAGTATTAAATACGATTAATTGCAATTGGAGTTATCATTTCCAGCAGCACTTTATGAGTATTAAAACACTCGCTGATAACGATGCATACGGAAATGAAAGTAAATAGGAGAAATATGACGTAATACATGAGAATCATTTAAAACCATTTAAAGGTTCAGAAAACATCAAAACAAGGACAAAACGATTTATAGAAATATTGCTAATTTTCTAAAACTGTTATTTAAACTCCGATTTATTTAACACCCTGATTAGATAAAATCTTTCTTAAGCTTCGATTAGATAAAAGTTGTACAAAATATACAAACTACAGGGCACGTTGTAATTTTCACAAAGTGTCTACGTAGATTCTGCGTCATGTTTATAAAAATATGAATTTGCAAGTATTTATAAATAGATGCTCCCATTTAAGACATTCACAATTAATACTGTATATGATTGCATCAAATAAAATTAGAAACCAGAATTAGATTGGAGAGAAACTCAAGGTTTTATACATTTGGAAAAACTGTAAAACTAGTAAACAGACTGCGGATGTTCATATTTTACATTGAAAATATGAACAATAATTTTCTACATGAAGATTTCCTACCGACATACCGAAAAATATGAATTCAAAATGAAAATCTGCGGTCAAATAGAAATCGATAATCGTCTCGGAAATTCGAGAATACGAAGAATCGCAAAATCACGAGACTTGGGAACAAGCTGTAAAGTTGGCCTCACCATGGAAGCCTTCAGGATTTCTGATTCACGCGCCGGTATGCGTGGAAACCTCTCGAGGTTATAAAAGGCGCCAATGGATAAGAAGAAAGAGAGACAGAGAGGGACGTAGAAGAGGAATGCAGTCGCGAGATCAAAGCGCAACAAGACTGAGAGTTGTCTGGCTGTAAACGCCTTGCGAATTTGCAGAAGTTGCACGGTGGAAGCGCGTTCTCGTCGCGGAAGAATGGATCCGAGGAGAGAGGCTGCGGCTCTTCCTTCTATTTGGCTGCAAACCAAACGCGTGCGATCGTGGGAATCGTACGATTTTTTTTCGATCAAGAGAAAGTGGGGGATAAACTTTCGCGAGTTAGGCGAGTTGGGGAAAGGTGGAAGAGAAATGACGATACAGTCGAGCTACGGCGAATGGGAAACGATTTGTATGCTATCGAGGATAAAATAAACATGTACATGTGTATAGTGAAGAGCATAGATTCAGCGTACAAAATAATTTGTTCCTTCAAAATAATATAATTGGTATAAATCTACGATTAATTCTACAGATTTCTGACACATTGACCGAAATATAATCCAGGTCGAATTGAAAATAAATTCAATTGAATTGCATCAACTTTAATTCCTAAAGACTGAATAGTTCATGAATGAATAACATCTAAAGATGAAACGATTAATCGTAATGAAATTTCGAATGGAATAATTAACCGATTATCAGTTTCTAATAATCGAAATTGATTAATATTTAAATAATTTCTTAAAATTAATTTCATAATTATTAAATTCAGGGTATTAATAAAATGATCAATACCATTGATGACCAATAGCTTTAATTGAAAAATAAGGATCATTCTTTACTCGCTCGTTAACACGTGTAGAAACATTTTGCACAATTGACGGCAATCCAAACAATTTTTTCAAATAGCGAATATTTTTTTATTACAATTGATTGACATATCAGTATCAAAGCTTCATATCAAGTACCGAAAAATCGAATTGACATCATCACTAATATTGATATCGATCTATTTAATACTGTGCTTTGGATTATGGATAGACGTTGGGTCTGGTATCGTTATATTCGTACGTCGTATCACGAACGTAGCCGTGCTGTTAGGTGGACGACAGCCTTTATGGGTGTCCAGCTTGTCCACATGGATGCCGTTCGCCACGTAATCGCCTTTCGCGAACGACCGCATCGTGCCGGTCACCAACGCGCGCCGATTTTTTTTTCTTTTTTTTTTTTTTTTTTTTTTTACGCCGCGCACCACGACGTGTTGCAATTTAAATTAGAACCGAAGCGTGGAACGCGATTACGCGAGAAATATAGGAGAATAGGAAGGAGCAGAGCAGACATTGGGGTTGTCGAGTTGCGTGAGGAGAGAGGACCGTATGCGTAAGACAGCAACGGATCTACACAATATGAAAAAGAAATCACTTTGAGTATAATTCAATATGAATTGAAACATAATTTTAGATGTATCTTTAATTGTCGAGAGATTTGTTTGCCTTGCAAGATGTGTAAACTACAAATGATCATTTATCAGTCACAATTAAAGTACGTGATTAAAGTACAGAATTCACTTATTCACGTAGGAAGACGTTCTTGTTAAGCTTTTAGAAACTGAAGCTTTTGTATATATTTTATGAAAAAACATTTAGACATCTGAAACTACCTTTGTACCTGTCGCATATAGACTAACGTACAATTCATACATATTGCCCACGGACAATTCGCGTCTCGTAAGTAACAGAAAATAGAAATACAGAAGCCTAAACAATTCGCATAAACACCATAAATAAACACCACTCTGGTTTGTCTGTCAGTTTGAGTGAAATTTTACGACATATATTGAACTATTCGATCAGAGATTAACCGTTCCGCTCAAATTCAGATCAATTTATCGTTCCCTTGCATCTTCACTTTGGATTAAATTTATTTTGCTTCTTTTCCTCTTTTTTGTTTTTGTACAATATGTTTTACAGTTTGCCGATGACTTTTCTAGTCAACCAGAGAAGTGTATATAGCGATAACGGATGACTATTGGCGCACCGATGCTAATATCCGAGTCATGAATGAAATAGTGGAATCTTAAATTTCCGGAATTTAGGTGAAACGTGTTTTCCTGAAGATTGATCAACTGAATTATGCATGCACATGGAGATTGAGTACTTGAATCTCGATTATGCAAATCCCTCCCTGAGTGTGAACGGAGTTATATACCCGACCGACCAAACAATTAATTATACCTGCAATGTTTGATATCCAGCGTGTGAATACAAAGGCAGAGACGAGACTGTAAATTTTTGTCTTTTAACTATATTTTACTATAATTTAGCTCGAACATTATTCTTCGATAATTCAATTGTAAATTAAATTCATACTGCCTATTAAGAACGCGTTTGTATGCTGTTGCACGAAAATATATAGACATTTAAACAATATTGTTTATTACTAAATTCTTTTCGAAATAAAGTGAGTCTACGTACATCTGGAAGTTTCAAATATTTCGAGAAATATATAAATCTTTTAAATATTTCAAATAGGCATTTATTACTTAAAATTATTCAGACTCTGAAAAAGATGATAATTTATAGTCGTATACTGAAAAACATAGATAAAATGTCATAAACTCTACTATACAATTACCGTGAGTACGTTAATTATAATCAGAATTTGCTTTATTCGATTTATTCATACGTTCTCTTAACAAACATAAAAGACACTGTCAATGCTTTAAATTTGGTTTAATCACATAATTCAGATACATGAAATATCCAACACCTTTCCTTTCCTGTTTCAAATATTTGAAATCTGACAGATTTGTATTTTGTGCATGCAGTGTATTCTAATAGTATTTAATTACTCGATCCTCTGAAAAATAAATAAATGTTTATCCGGTGCGCGTAATGCCACCGAAAAGCTAATGAGTGGAGATCTTTTAGGTCATAGTCATACTCGCTCTCGAGGACTTTGTCGATAAAATCGAGCACGTTCAATCAGAATTCATTCAATCGAGTATTAAATTTGTCGAGGTTCTTCGAGACACTCGAACGGAGAATGATGGATCGGCCTGGAGGATTTAGCGTGTAGAGATAAATTAGTTAAGTAAGATGGTGATAAAGATCTGAGTGAATAGAACGAAAGAAGATGCCACTGACGGTCTCTGTTACGTGAAACCATGCGGAGCTGTTACATTGTTCTTGTAACAGACATTCTCGTATTCTCTTACACAGTTAACGCGATTTAAAATCAGCTCGACTGAATTCTTATTCATCAGCTTCTGTCATCTCTTCTGCGATCTTCAATTCGTAAAACAATAAAGTTGATGAACGACAAAAAACGCGGTTCTTTGAATCTCCAAACGAAGACAAAGAAAAAATTTCTTTATACAAAAATAAATTTGTATTGTAAACGAGTGTATTAGTAAGAGGAAAAGTCAGACTTGTCCAATTTCGGTTTTTCAACGAATCTGAAGGGGAGCGTTAAATAAAATTATAAAATAATATTGCCTAAGCTACAACTTCTTGTGCTATAAACTGTCAGTCAATAGAGAATTATTAAAATCTAACCTACTAAACTCATTTGATCTAAAATTCCTCTGGGAAATGAATTAATTTCTCTATCAAATCTTCGACATACAACTGATGCAATGAAGTACTATTGTACTTATTGAACAACGAAGTAATTCATTAAATCAGGAAAAAATTATTTGGTGTAGAAATTAATTCGATGCCTTTGCGCGCAATTTTGGCATTAAAAATACCCGTAGATTATTAAAATTCCCAGTTACACAAATTTTTGCTTTTAATTTCCAACAGATTCCCTGCAGATTTTTCAACGGTAATTTAAATACATCTGACTGAGAATATCTCGACGTAAGAATCGGAAAATTAAAATCAAAACTCCTTGTTGAATGATCCAAATAGTAATTTCCAATCGAACATGCCAGCGAATAAATTTCTGCATCTAATAAGTAAGAAAAATAAAAAAAAAAAAAAACTAAAGATTAACGAACGGAAGCGTGATAACGCTTCTCTGTCTGAGCACAAATTTATCAACCGGAACAGGTCCCTAATGGTTCGTACAGAAATAATAATCTTCGGTAAGAAGACGCGAGAGGCGACGCAACATTCCAAGGAGAGCGGCCACTCACCTCTGCTTGCGGTCTCAGCTTCTGCTTGGACGAACGGCCTCACAGCAGCCAGTATCCATCGTGTTCGTACTCCTCTTCGTTATCCGCTTCTGCCGCCTTTCGCGCAAGTACGTAAGCACTAAGTAGGTACACGTTAGATGCGCGATCACAAACTCACACCTGGCAAACAATGTTCCGCTATTAGTTTCAATCTCGTAGGCGCACACGTTGTACGAGCTGAACATTCTAATTTCGTCGAACCTTGTTAATTTGACAAATGCCCTTGAGCGACACTTCCTCTTCTAGTTTGACAATTTGGCTTTTACGTTCGATCGGTACTAAACCGACAAAACAGAAATAAAGTTCCTCTTGCAGCGTAACGAGATAATAAAGGGTTACATAAATTCCCAAATAAACAGAAATTGTATCAACGCACGATATGATTGTTGGTTTATTAAAATTAAACGAGGCTAAACAATAGGTTTCACTTGAGGATTGCTTTTGGAATTGATGTGCGAACAAGTCGAACAATTAGAAAATTGAAGTCGATACATCGTGCATGCCTGCGTGATAGCGAGAAATTATTTCAAAACGAGGGAATTTATATTGTCTCTACAATCGGCGAATCGAGTAATGGTTTCCTTAACGGTCGAGTGGCAACGACACGACAAGAATTCGAGAATACGCCCACAACTGAAATGCCTACCTGCACAACAGTCGTGCTTATGAGTCAGAAGGCCGTCACACGTTTTGCTAAATATCCCGACGTTTCCTTACACGTTGATCGCGACGGATTCAAATTTATAACGACACACTTTACGCGGTTCACATTCGCTTGCTAACGTGTAACTGACTAACGAATGCACATGTTCGATTAATCGCAAATGAAAAAATGAACCAATAGAATGAAATAACGAAATAACTGTCGTTTTTGTTCGAATGATCGAACGTGTATCTTTTAATTTAGATTTTTCATTTTCATAATACATATATCATGGTAATTTAACGCGCGGGATGAAACGTACGATGATGGACATTCAAAGATATTTTTATTTCACCGGCATTTTATGCGCACTCTTTTGGCAAGATGCGCAAGCTTTGCAAATCACATGACCCGTTCATGAACAAGGATTTCGCAATGATTTTTATTGGAA